GAATGCAAGAAATGATTATATCAAACCTTAATTTTATACCAGTTAATTCCTTTTAAACATCTCAGAACAAGAAATATAAATATAGGATATGTATTTATATGTGTTTCCTAAAGTAGAACTTTGTAATTTTATGTACTGTGCTGAGAAAATCATGGAGAACAAGCCAGTAAGCTGTGCTCTTTCATGGCTTTTGAATCACTTTCTGCCTTCATTTCCTGCCCTGACTTCCCTTCATGATTGTCAATAAACAATAAGTTGCAATAGATCCTTTCAATTCCTAGTTGCTTTTGGTCACGTTGTCTATCATATACCTAGAAAGCAAACTAGTACACACTTAAAATGTATTTTTATATAGAAACGGTGAGTAAATATTATATAAGAATTGACATATAAGTTATGGATTCGTAGAAATAAAATATTCAGCTTGTCATTTAAAACATCAGATTCAACTTAGAAATTGCAAAATGTATTATGATACCACATACCTATATTTTACTAGGTTTGAAGCAAGCAGGTTGTCTTAGGAAAGAAATTTAGAGGAAGTTGTAAGTGATCTATATTAGACAAACTTGAGTGTCTTCTAGGCTTACATGTTGATAGTACTAATTAAATAGTACAAATGAGAGATAAACAAAATTAGTAAGTGAAGTTATAAAGAAAATAAGATGTTTTAAAATGATTTATGTGCAAGAATGATGTGGAGAAGAAAGCATCACATGTGTATGTGTGTTCAATGCTGTTTAAATATTTACGGAGAAGATAGACATATTGAATATTTTAAAAATGAAGACTTGTAATTCATCAAATATATAAATTCTTTCAAATTCCTGTTTTCTTTGTTTTTTTGGTATGGTTCTTTCTTTTTTCTCCTTATGCAATGTTTTAATTTGTTTATTTGTTAAAAAAACTATGACATGTCAAGAAATGTCTATTTTTATTTTTTTCTGTCACTGTTTGCAGACAGTTAAGCAGAAACAGGTGACAAAATAAAACAAGAGTGTTTTAAATATAAATGCTGATTTTTATATTAAATTAGTAGATATTTTATGTATTTCATAACCTTTTAGCTCTTCCACGTTTGACTAAGTGACTTTTCATGAGAGGAAATCTAGTTTCTGAGATCTAAAAGGAATTAGCAGGGTCTTAAGTTGCTAGCAGACAGCTTAAGATAAAAACTTGGCAAAGTTGTGGGATGATTGAACTGGGAATGCCCAGCCAACCCAATAAATAGAAAGACTGCCAAAATCAGACAAAACTTCAAGACACTGAGCTGACTCTTACCTGAAAACTTCCTTTATAAGGGCAAGTTTCACAGTACCAGATACTGTTCTTCTGGCAAAGACATGTCAAATTGTCTAATAGTCTCAGAAGCACATTCTGGCTGAAATGAAATACACACCTCACACCACTGTTAGGCCAAGAACCTGAGGCTATACAGGCCATAGAATCCATAGGAGAACCAAGGACTCTGATTCTGCTAAATTTCTAAATGGACATGATAATAAAAGAGCTCCTCATGATTATATTTATATATTAATGCATTTCTCAACCCCCATTTGCGAAGCCTCTGTTTGTAATAAATGGCAATTAACACAGAGGCCTACACCTGGTCAAGGTGGAAAGAATAAAAGCCTCAGCCCTAAATGAAAGAGCTCTACCACGTGCCCTTCTCATAATGCTCAGGGATCATTGAGGTAGAAAGATGTAAGAGTCAGAGGAAGTGGATGATTCCAAGGAAACTGTTTTCTGGACACTGTAGGGCAGCTGCATATATTAATTTATAGTAGCTGTGATAAAAGATACAAGACCCATGTAGAGTCAAAGTAGAACAAATCCCAGCATTTGTCAATGATGTTTAATAAACTTTATAAATAGAGAATTCTTTACTGGCAAGGAATACACAACAATTTCAAAGAAGAATGTACTTTTGTATAGGCTACTAGTGAGTACAAAAGATCTTGTTCTAGCTAATAGATTTGTTATTATACATTATATGTTCTTTGTCAAAATTAAATAATTAATTAATAAAACATAAATAATAAGAATATTTCATGAATTTGGAACATAAATAATACTTAGTCATTGGTAAAATCAAAACAAGACTACACATTTCAACCAATTCTCAAACTAGAGCCGAACTATAGTACTGTCTTTTTTTTGTGTGTGTGTGTCGCAAGTGCCAGGGTTTATTTTTTTTTATTTTTATTTTTTTTTTATTTTATTTATTTTATTTTTTTTGTAATTTTATTAAATTATAAAAAGTTTCCATTTACGCCCCTCCTCCCAACGCCCTCCCACTCCCCCCCTCCCTCTCCTCCTCCCTCCTTGTCCCCTAGGGAAGTCAGGGTCTCCTGCCCTGTGGGAAGTCCAAGTTCCTCCCCCCTCACTCCAGGTCCAGGAAGGTGAGCATCCAAACAGACTGGATCCCAAAAATCCAGTATATGCAGAGGAAACCAGTCCCAGTGTCATTGTCAATGGCTTCTCGGAAAGACTGCAGGCCAGCCACATTCAGAAAATCCGGCCACATTCAGAGAATCTGGTTGGATCACATGCTCGTTCAGTCACGGTCCATCTGGCCTTGGTAAACTCTCATTAGATCCGACCCCTTGTATCAGTGGGTGATAGTATCCCTCGCAGTCCTTCGTCATTTTCTTCCTCCTTTTGCTCCTCGTTTGGATCTTGGGGGGCTCAGTTCGGTGCTCCAACGCGGGCCTCCATCTGTATCGTCATCCAACGCCAGGTGAGGGATCTATGGTGATAAGCAAAATATTCATCAGTATGGTCACGGGCCAAGGCCGGTTCAGGCACCCCCTCCTCTGTCCAGAGAACAATCTGGGGATCTCTCCTTGGACCTGGGATCCCATATATAATTAAGTTTCCTGTAAACTCTAATATGACTCCCTTAGTTGAAATATATTCTTCCCTGATCCCACATTCATCCTTCCTCCCTTCCCCCCATCCCGGTCAACCGAGCTTTCTCCATTCCTCCCCTACTCCCTTCTCTCTAACCCTCTCCCCTTCCATCAACCCTCCCACCCCCCCCCCCATGCACCCAAGGTTACCTGGGACTCTTGACTATTTCCTACCTCCTGGCGGATAGGTAAATAATCTTCATCAGGTTCGTCTTCTTATTTAGCTTCTCTAGGAAGCTAAAGGAATACACAACAATTTCAAAGAAGAATGTACTTTTGTATAGACTACTAGTGAGTACAAAAGATCTTGTTCTAGCTAATAGATTTGTTATAGATTATATGTTCTTTGTCAAAATTAAATAATTCATTAATGAAATATAAATAATAAGAATATTTCATGAATTTTGAACATAAATAATACTTAGTCATTGGTAAAATCAAAATAAGACTACACATTTCAACCAATTCTCAAACTAGAGCTGAACTATAGTGCTGTCTTAACTGATGTTTGAAAAGTTCAACCAAATATGAGAAATTCACATTTGTTAACACATTTATTAAAAAAAGAAGGTAAGTGAGTAAAATAATTTTATCTGATGGAAATGTTTGGAAATTAATCTTTAAAAATAGAAATTATGGAGAAGAAAATGCTTACTTAAGTGTGCTATATACAGAATACAAGGCAATGTTGTCCATGTTTAATTATGAAAACAACATCATTTGAGGAAAAAAGAAATTAAAATATATCAAGAGCACTTCATCCTGCATTTCATAACTAGGAAAAGGCAAATATAAAAAAGATTGTTAGAAGTTTTAACCAGATATCCTAGTTCCCATTTTTATCTAAATTATAATTGAATAGACAATGGTCATTTGATATGTCAAAGAATGGGTTCCATTATTCTAAATGGGCACAAAAATATATGAACACCAAAGTACTTGTAAAATGACATAGTGTATTCATATTAGGATGGCTAACATTCATTGTCAGTTTAATGGGATTAATAAACACCTTGCTCCTCAGAGAGGCTTACTTTTGAGTATATCTGTGAAGGCTTTTAAGAGAGAATTTCCTGAAGTCAAAGGACTAACACTAAATGTTGCCACCACTATTCCACAAAATGGATTCCTGGGTTGAAGAAATAGAAAGAGGGAGAGAACAGAAAACCATCTGAGCATGTTCATTTTTCCCCCTGCTTTCTGGTCTACCAAGCTATAACAAGCGGTCATGGTTCTGTTGTTATAAAATGATCCATTCCTATCAAAATGGTTTCACCACTAGAATGGCCTATCCCCTCACACTGCAAGCTAAAACAAGCCTTTCATTTCTCTATAGGCTTGTGTCAGTAATATTGTCAAAACCATAAAAAACATTACTAATGTAGAAAATTTCTGGTGCCAAAAATGGGGCTGTTTCTGTTAGAAAACTGACCATGTGGTGTCCATGACTTTGAAGTAGTTTGTAGGAAAACACAGAAAAGTTTGATACTTTTCAGATACCACAGTTATTGACAGTTCATATAAGAATTCAGGAACAAGAATGTTAATAGAAATCATGACCATGGATTCAATGCACATGAACCTCACATGGATTCTGTTGAGAACTGAACAGCCAGTGAGTAGCAGGTGTTGTAAGGAAGGTTGCTTATTCATTTTCCAGTTGCCCAGACTCCTAAAATAAATACACAGAAACTATATTATTTAAATCATCGATTGGACTATTAGCTCTAGCTTCTTATTTGCTAACTCTTACATCTTAATTTAACCCATCTCCATTAATCTGTGCATCACCATGAGGTCATGGCCTATCAGCAAAATTTCTGCAAATCTGTCTCCGGTAGCAGTTTCATGACTTCTGCTCTAACTCCTCCTTCTTTCTCCCAGCATTCAGTTTAGTTTTCCCTGCCTACTTCTATTCCCTGTGCAGGCCCAAGACAATACTTTATTAACTAATGGTATTCACAGCATACAGAGGGAAATCCCACATCAAGCAGGCTTTTTTTCAGGTCACCAACTAACTCCCAAATAAAGACGTGGTGTTAGTTATGAATTCTTGGCCTTAGCTTATGCTTGTCCCACTGGCTCTTTTAATTTTTATTTAACCTATGTCTCTTCATCTACATTTTGCCTTGGGAATCTTTTACTTTTATTCTGTATGTCCTACTTTATGTCAGTCTGTATGGCAATTGCCAGGCATCTCCCTTGCTCTCTAACTTATTCTTTTCCTTTTTTTCTTGAGCCTAGATTCCCCTCCTACTTATTTTATCTGCCCACCAGCCATCCTATCTTTCTGATGCCTAACTATTGGCTGTGCAGTTCTTTATTAGACCAATCAGACACCTTAGTCAGGCAAAGCAAGACATCTTTACATCATTAAATAAATGCAACATAAACAAATGGAACACATCTTTATTTTTATATAATGAGATATTTTATATAAAGTAATATTCCACAGCACCAGTGGTGTTAGAGACTGTGTGGCTCCAACATAGATAACTATTTGCCCTAACTGGACTGGTACGGAGGCACAAGGAATAATCAGACACAGCTTATATGATCATAATGAAAAGGGCATCTCAGGCTTCTTCCTACTGAAGATCTCTCTGCATTTATTCTCCAGACAGCTTTTATACCAACACATAAATTGCATGGGAAAATAAACCAGCATTCTGTCACCTAGGTAACCAGGTGAATGGCCTTTTGTCACATCAGCATCTACCTGTCTGCTGAGTATGCTAGCTGTCACATAGGTTTGAATTAGCATCTCTATAAGATATCCTCCAAATTACAAGGAAGGGAGCAGCAAACATCCTGACTTTTGTTAGGCAGAGACAGCTTGTCTGCAGAGATACGTGACCTCCTCAGGTGGGCCTCTTCAGCACCTGGCAGCCACCATATAGAAATATGGGCCTAAAATCCACTCTCTTTTATTAATTTTAGTACCTCCTGTGCTTCTGCAACAGGACAGATGTATCATGTCTGGCTTGGGCAAAGTCCTCTTCATTTACCCAAATTTTCCCATCTTTGGAACAGGCATTCATATATGCGAGCCCCTATCTTAAGCATTTGGGGAAAAGAAGTTTCAAACCCGTCGTTGACTGCTGATCTCTGTAAAAAAAAAAAAGAATAGTGGAGAGAAATATACTTTTAGACCCTGTGTATCAGCCATATCTTTTGTCAGGATATATCATAATGCTTTATGAATAATTATGCTCCCAAAGGCTATATTCTCCTATTTTAAAGGAGAGTAGAATCACCTAGTTGAAAATGTTTCTTACACTGGTTCAGAGCATCACTTAGATCTCAACATTCTCAGCATACGCATCAACTCTCAACATTCACCATCACAACCTCTTTTTCAGCAATTTCCAGTTGTAACCATCCACAATCTTGATTTTTCCACATTATCGGTCAATACCAATCTTCCAATTTTTCATATCATAATTTTATGTTTAGCCAGTCAGAACCAGCTCTCCAATTTTCATAATTTCATATTTAGATGGTCAATACCAGCTCTCCAATTATCATAATTTCATATTTAGTTGGTCATTACCAACTCTCCAATTATTCATAATTTCATATTTTTCTTTACCATAATTTCATATTCTTTTTGGTCATTACCAATGTATTTATCACCACTGGTCATTACCAGATTTTTCCCATCACCTTATATGCAGCTGTAAATATTAGATCATTACTGTTAAGAGTATAATATCATTTGCTGTTCTTAAATCCCATTTTCAGTCACTGTGCAGCTGTTAAACCCTTAATCTGCCCCCTTGTTAAGTGAAGAGGGGTTTTTATCATTCTTTATTGAGTCTTTCTTTCCCTGAGGGGTAAGCTTAGGTCTTAGTTCTTAGATTTAATATTTTATTCAAAATGAGTTTTGTGTCCCATAAACCAAGAATACTCAAATGTTCAGTTTGTATCTTAGTTCAAAAGCAACAGGTTTCACACCACAGCCAGCTGCAGACACAGCAGTAATCTCATCTCACCAGGATCTCTTTGTTCATAGTCTCCCTGCAGCGATGTGAGTTGGCAGCTGTAGGTCCAGATCATACTCCTCTCTGTGGGCTGGGTTATCAGTCCTTCTGGATCTCTTCTCATTCTGTTTCTTCTGCTGGGCGGTTGTCAGCTCAGCTGTCCTCAAGTTCATTGTCCTTCTGCTGAATGCACCGAATCAGCAGTTCTGGAAGCCATATGACTTGATTTTCATCCTGTGAGAAAACACAGACATTCCCTTGACTCCATATTAGGATGGGATCAGGTCCTTTCCGTATTCTAATGCAAGGGTCCTTCCACATTGCTTTAGCAAATGTGGTTTTTGTACCTTTATGCCACAATCTGTCTGCAGCTGATCACTCATGGGTATCTGTATTTAGAAAGTTTAGCATAAACAAAGCATGATTTAAGGCATTGTGTGGCGTCTGAGGATACAACTCCCCTGTCTTTATTTTTTGGAGTTGTATTTTCAAGGAGCTGTGTGCATGCTCCACAATTCCTTGTCCTTGAGGATTATATGGAATACCAGTTTTATGAACAATATTCCGTTGAGTACAAAATCTTTGAAAAGCTTTGTTAACGTATCCGGACCCATTGTCCATCTTTATTACCTTTGGGGATCCCTTGCATGAAAAGCCTTTCAAGCAATGAGTTATTACATGCTTGGCAGCTTCCCCAGTTTGTGCTGTGGCTATCATAAATGCTGAATACCTATCAATTGTCACATGCACATATCTCAAATTTCCAAACTCAGTAATGTGGGTTATTTATTTGTATATATGGTTAGGTGCGGTGCGCATCCTGACCAGCAGGAATGAACGCCACTAAAAACGAGAATTCCTTCCCTGGTCATGTCTTTATTCGGAGCATTTGATTGAGGAAAATTGGGGGAAGGGAAGATAGAGCAGGGACAAGAGAAAGCTTAGAGAGAGAGGAAGTAGAGCCCCGAGGCAGCTGCTTTTAAACGGTGGAGAGGCTTGAACGCTGTCCTGATTGGTTAATGCCATTCTGCTGGTCTGAGCATGTGCAAGCAAGGGTGCAGGCAAGGGTGCTCAGCCCCACGTGGCTAAGCCAGGTATACCTCCAAACTGCAGGACCACCTGTGCCTCCAGGTGGCTCCCAACAGTTAGGAAGCAGTCCTCAGGGATTTACCCCCAAATGAGGCACAGGTAGATATTGTGGGCATTTTTCACACTGCTTAACATTTTGATGAGCAGCTTCTCTGGTTAGTTTAAATTGCTTTCTTAAACTTAAGCTGTTTTGATGGTGCAAAGCATGTGACTGCTGTGCAAGTTCTACCTGAGATATAGCAATTATTTTTGTAAGTTCGTCAGCTAGAGCATTACCTTCAGCTAATGAACCAGTAAGACTTGAATGTGCTCTGATATGTCCCACAAAACACGGTAACTTTCTACATTATATGGCTTCCTGAACCTGTGAAACAATATCTTAACTTGTTCATTGCTAGTTCCTATATATGACACAGTTTCCAAGATTTGCAATGCCTCATAAGTATACTGGCTATCAGTATATAGATTAAAAGCCTTATTAGCAAAATTCTTAAGTATCAGAGCTACAGCCCGCAGCTCAACTATTTGAGCTGAAGCTGATTCAGTCTGTATCATGTATCCTTTGCCATTGACTACATAAGCAGCTTTTCCATTAGATGAGCCATCAGTGAAAATAAACAAAGCATCCTTTAAGGGATTCATTGCTACTATTTAGGAAAAATGAATGAGTGCTGTTGTGTAAACTGTAGTAACTGGTCATCTGGGAAAAGTTTATTAATCTGACCTTGAAACTGAGCAAATGCAATTGCCCACAAATCACTATTTTGAAATAACCATTCAGTTTGCTGCTTAGTGTAAGGAACATTGATTACAGCCGTTTCTTTGCCAAAATATTTTCTAGATTCCATTCTGCTCTTTTGTGATAAGCATGCTACTGCTTCAAAATAAGGATTTAATACTTTTACTGGTGACACAGGCAGATACAGCAACAGACGTGGTCCATTCTGCCATAAGACTGCTGTAGGAGCCAGTATTGTAGGTAAAATACACACCTGCCACGTCTGGCTGTAATCGATGTAGCATACTGGGCTGTTCCTGTATAGCCTGCTCTATCTGTGAGAGAGTCTGTATGGCAGCTTCTCAAAGCTGCCTGCTAGAATTTGAATCACTGTCTCCTTTAAATATTTCATTTAGAGGCTCGAGATCTCCTGTAGGAAACCTTAAATAAGGCCTTAGCTACTGTATATTTCCTAACAACCTTTGAAAGTCATTGAGAGTTTTTAAGTCATCCTTCCTAATTTCTATCTTTTGAGGCTTAATTTCTTTGGGTTATAACATGTGACCTAGATATTGAAATGGTAGGTGCCTCTGTAATTTCTCAGAAGCAATAATTAACCCTGCATGGCTTAGGCTCTGTTGTAACAATCCATATATCTCTAGTAAAGTATCCTCATCTCTATGAGCCAGCAGAATGTCATCCATATAATTCATTACGTAGACCTGTGGAAATTTCCAACTTTTTGTATAGCTTGAGTTACGAATTTCTGGAATAAAGTTGCACTATTTAACATGCCCTGGGGCAAAATATTTCACTGATATCTCCTCATTGGCTCTCTGAAATTAACTGAAGGAATACTAAAATCAAATCTTTGACAATCTTGTGTAGTTAAAGGAATTGTATGAAAACAATCTTTCAAGTCTAAGATAATTTTATGTGTGCTTTTTGGTATTACTACTGGAGATGGCAGCCCTGGTTGTAATGCTCCCATTGGCTGCATGGTTGCATTAACCTCTCTTAAATCCTGAATTAATCTCCACTTTCCTGATTTCTTTTTAATAACAAAAATTGCAGAGTTTCATGGAGAATTAGATGATGAAATATGTCCACTATCCAGCTGTTCCTGCACTAACTGCTGGGCAGCTTGTAATTTTTCTTGTGTTAGAGGCAACTGACTCACCCATACAGGCTCATCACTTTTTCCAAATTATAGGGTCTGCATGGAGTGCAGGTCTTTCAGCGACCTCTCCTAAAAATATCCTAAACCTGCTCTAGGAGGTCTACTGTCTGGTACAAAAGGATCAACTTTTCCCTTATTATCTTTGCCTAGACCTTGATTAGGTAATAATCCTTGTTGAAACATCTGACTAGTAACAGTTGTGCTGGGAGAATATAAATATACTCCCATTCAGGACATGATATCTCTGCCCCATAAGTTCACAGGTAAATGAGGAATAACATACGGCTTAAAAGTTCCTTCATGGCCTTCCTCATCTTTCCAATGAAGTTCATTACTACTCTGTTCAGGATTTCTAGTCTGACCAATTCCTTGTAACTGTGTAATAGTCTCCATCTTTGGTCACTTGGAAGGCCACTGGCTGGCAGTTATAACTGAAATATCTGTGCCAGTATCCAGAAGACCAGAAAATCTCTTTCCATTTATAAACAAAGTGAGTTCTGGTCTCTGAGAACCTATTGTCTTACCCAAAATGCATCAGATGAATGAAATGCATCTTCTCCTCTCTTTTCTTTTTAAGATCTCAACATAAAACCAACAATACTTAACCTCATGGAAGAAAAAATTTAGAATTTACATTTGAATGCACTGACACAACTCTAACACAGCCTCAGTGGCATACACATTGAGAGAAACAATTAATAACTCTAGAACTGAGAAGCTTCTATAAACAAAAGTCCCTTTAGTAATCACTAATCCACTTCAAAAACATACAAGGAACGCAGGAAATTAATCATCAAAAGAACAAATAATCCAATAAGAATATGTTACAGACCTAAACTGTAAACTCTCAATAGATGAACTTAAAATGACTGAAAGACATTCAAAAAATTGCTCAAATATAACATTCTTAACCTTTGGAGAAATGTAAATCAAAACAACTCTGAGACTCCATCTTATCCCTGCAGAAATGACCAAGATCAAAAACACTGCTCACAACCTTGGATTCGAATTCACCTGCCTACAAACAGCAGACTTTTGACAAAGAAGCAAAATTGTAAAATGAAAAAGAAGCATTTTAACCTGCTTATCTCAGAGGCTATCTTAATTTAAACCTGTCTTTTTTCCTTCAGTTGAAGCTGCGCTGCATGGCAGGGGGTAGGACACAGGCTCACTTTATCTGTTAGACTGCCTTCCCTAGCTCTGGTAGGCAGATTTTTAACTATCTTTTTTATTTTAACTTGAAAATCATAAAATTAGAATTTCTGAATCCTCTCCTCTGTTCTATAACCTGTGTGAGGTTAAATTTGCTCTCTAAACTTACTCTTGCTCCTGCTTGCCTTTTACCCACAGGTGAGTTATGTTAGCTGGCTACTGTGTGCACGTGGCTACTCAATCTCAGTGGTAACTTGGTGATTCTTGAGCCAAAAGTCATTTTTCCTTCATCTTTTCTACTCATTTAGCAAGCAATAGAAGTTGCAATTCTGCATCTATCATGCTTATAGATTCTCAATAACTCTGCCATTGTTTCTGCTCTACTCTCACTCCCTTTAGTTACCAACATGAATACTTTTCCCTTATCCCATATTTCTATATTTACAAGTTTTACTCCCGATATTACTGTCCCATTTGGGTATCTAAGCGCACATTACTCATGCATCCACTGATTTTTTTCTTGTGAGTTCCTCACGTCTGGTTACTTCTTCCTTACTTTTTGGGGTGCGTGGATCAGCCTCACCTTCTCCTCCATCCTTTGTCTGGTCTCCTTCAGGGATTTAGTGATCGCCATTCACGGTCTCTCTCATCCTGTCTCTTTCTCTGGCTTCTCACGGATTTAGGCGGTCAGTACCACGTTGCCTTTCGTCTTGGAGGTTCAGTAGTCGGCACCACGTTGTCTTTAATCTTGGGGTTCAGTGGTGCCTAACGTTGCCAACACCATTATGTTAGAGCCCGTGTGGCTCCAACATAGATAACTATTTTCCCTCACTGGACTGGTACGGAGGCACAAGGAATAATCAGACACAGCTTACACGATCATGATGAAAAGGGCATCTCAGGCTTCTTCCTACTGAAGATTTCTCTGCATTTATTCTCCAGACAGCTTTCATACCAACACATAAATTGAACGGGAAAATACACCAGCATTCTGTCACCTAGGTAACCAGGTGAATGGCCTTTTGTCACATCAGCATTTACCTGTTTGCTGAGTATGCTAGCTGTCACATAGGTTTGTATTAGCATCTCTATAAGGTATCCTCCAAATTACAAGGAGCAGCAAACATCCTGACTTTTGTTAGGCAGAGACAGCTTGTCTGCAGAGCTACGTGACCACCTTTGGTGGGCCTCTATGACTTCAGCGCCTGGCAGCCACCATGTAGAAATATGGGCCTACACAGTGGTCGTTAACATAGTATGTCAATGAATCTGGTTACATACTTTCTGTGTCTAGGAAACGTGAATGAGGATTAATTTAAATAATACAAGGAATTTAAAAACAGTATAGCATTTATGCCATGGCATGAGTGCTGCTCACCTAGGTGTATGGTGTTAAAATAAGAAAAAAGATTTGGGAAATTTAGCATTTGTGAGATTCAGGATACCTATACATACTCTCTCTCACACATGTATATAGATTCACATGCTGAGGAACAATCTTTGTACACTTTAAATATGTGATGCCATAAAACAATCCCACACCAGTTCAGAATTGTTGATTATAAAAAGGGTTGTTTATTTAAGGGGAAAAACTTACAGATCACCGTCCTAAACAACAGTCCTCTGAGCTCAAGTGGGAAACAGAGTCTAGCAGCCAGAAGGGAAGCCAGAAACAAGAGAGTGGGCACATGGTTCCTGCTGCTTTTTAGACTATAAGAGACCATATCTAAGTGGTCTGGTATCTTAAAGGCTATTGACTGAAGGAGCAGAATGTGCTTCCACAGAATCTCCCCTTTTTTATTTCAATAAGAGAGTTCTAAACCCAATACAAAAAAATATAAACTAGGAACAGATATCAAGTATAATTAGAATTACAACCATCATAAATAATATTGAGCAAGGAACATATGGTAAATGTTTTAATAAACATTCTTTCCTATGGAGTCTAAATCTTGTTTAGGAAATGGCTTGGCTAGATCATAAGAGTTCAGTAATGATGACTATCTAAACTTCAACCCCATCAAAGGCTTGAGAATGGAGATAATGTTACTTGAGCAGGCAGGAAATACAATCAAGTAGCTTCCAAAGTGAGCAATATATGACAGAGACAATTAGCTACCTGAGAAATCAACCAAAGTCTCATTTTGCAACGTTGAAGCAAGCAACTCTGGCTAAGGCCTAGTGTAACTGATAGACTATTTTCAGAGGCAGGAAATTTTAAGATTTGACAGTCCTGATTTTCCATTTCCAGATATCATGTAACTTGTCAGTTGTTGAGGCATTGTCAGTTCCTTGCCCAAAGGCCAGTTTTGCCAAGAAGAAAACAAGCTCCAAGTGGTGTGTCTTTGGTGTTTAATATTCCCTCAGGAATAGATTGGTACTGTTAGAAGCAATCATGTCTCGTGTCAACAAAACCCTAAATAATTTAAATGCTGTGTTCCACAGATCCTTGTAGTTGTTGAATAATACCTATCTAAAGAGAATATAATCGCTATGTATCTAAAGAACCTAATTAATCTGACTACATGTACAACAAACATGAGCAAATATTGACCTATAATAATTAATACCTGTATGTTGATCAGAGATAGAAGTAATATATGATACAATATGAAAATATACCATAAAAGTTGTATTAATATGCAAAATGTTCTAAACAGAGGTAGAAACATGAATATATGTAATCTGACAAAATAACTTTGTTTGTGTGTGTATATATATATATATATACACACAAATAATGTAAACAAAGTAACAAATATAATTTGAACTTTTATCAATATACAAAAGAAGGTATAAGTCACAAAAAAAATCCCACACCAGTTTAGAATTATGATTAATAAAAGGGTTATTTATTTAAAGGAAAAAGCTTACAGATCACCATCCTAGACAATAGCCCTCTGCATGATCAGGAAAGGAGTCTACTAGTCAGAAGTTGAGCCAGAAGCAAGAGAACAAGTGTGTGGCTACTGCTGTTTTTTAAAGCAAAAGAGACCACACCAAAATAGGCTGACATCTTAAAGGCTATTGAGTGAAGGAGCAGAAGGAGCTCCCATAGTACCATCCCCTTTTGTTTAAATAAGAGAATTCAAAACCCGATAGAAAACAATATACACTATGAACAGATATTAAGTATAATATTAGAATTACAACCAGCATAAACAATACTAAGCAAGGAACATAAGCTAAATGTTTTAATAAACATTCTAACCTATGGAGTCTAAATCTTATGGCTTGGCTAGATCATAAGAGGATGGTAATTATGACTATCTAATCTTCAACCCTATCAAAAGCCAGAGAAGGGAAATCATATTACTTGAGCAGGCAGGAAGTACAATCAAGTAGCTTCCAAAGTGAGCAATATATGACAGAGACAATTAACTACCTGAGCAATCACTCAAAGTCTCATTTTGCAACATTTAAGCAACCAATTTTGTAACATGAAGGGGCCTGCTTGTTGGGGTTTCTGTTCTTCCCGGTAACCCACAGCCGGTAAGCCCCAAAGAAAATCACACAGTGTCTACATTATGTTATAAACTGATTGGTCCATTAGTTCAGGCTTCTTATTAGCGCTTGTCACTTATATTAACCCATTATTCTTATCTATGTTAGCCACATGAATCGGTACATTTCTCAGCAGGGCAGCTCACATCTTGCTTCTTCAGAGTCTGGGCAGGAGTAGGAGGAGTGGGCTTCCTCCTTTCCAGCATTTTCCTGTTCTCATCACCCTGTCTCTACTTCCTGTTTGGTTGACCTGCCTATACTTCCTGCCTGGCCAATCAGTGTTTTATTAAAATATATGGTTGACAGAATACAGATAATTCTCTTGCACCACAACTTTGGCCATGACCTAGCATAATTGACAAACCATTTTCAGAGGCAGGAAATTTTTCAAAACTGTCTTATCCTGTCTTGGCAAGATTTGACAGTCCTGCTTATCCATTTCCAGATATCATGTAACTTGTCAGTGGTTGAGACATTGTCAGTTCCTTACTCAAAGTTCAGTTTTGCCAAGAAAAAACCATACCCTAAGTGGAGTGTCTTACATTCTCTTGGGAATATATTGGTGCTGTCAGAAGCAATCAAGTCTCATGTCAACAGAACCCTAAGTTATTTAAACACCATGTTCTGCAGAAACTTGAAGTGGTTGAGTATTACCTTTGTAGACAGAATATAATCTCTATGTCTCTAAAGAACCTAATTGATCAAACTGTATATACAGCAAGCATGAACAACTATTGACCTATAATAATTAATACCTGTATAACTAAAAGACTCAAACTTCATGTCAGAATATTAAATAACCTGTAAACAAATATGCAACAAATGAGGACAATGACCTCAAAATGTAAACAATATATAAATATCATCTAAGTAGGAGTAATATATAATGTAGTATAAAATATATCCTAAAAGTTGTATCACTATACAAAATGTCCTCAACAGAGATAATAACATACATATATACAATCTTTCAAAATAACTTTGTATAGGTGTACAAATAAACATAAATAACAGATATAATTTTAACTTGTATCAATATGCAAAAACTATACCAATGTAAGTTATCTATGAATAATAGCTCACAAGTATTCACTCTATTACCCACTATTACTATTGGCACTTTTTTTTTAAAAAAAAACATAATTTTCATCCCAACCCTCTGTCTAATACAAGTAATAATCAACAACCCCTAAACAGTGTTCCCAACCCTATGGACAAACTTTTTGGAAATGGGGGCATTGTCTTCTAGAATTGCTTCCTGCTGTCATGGGTGCGATGTTCTCTTAAAGGGATCCTGGTTAAGTTTCAAAATTACTGTCTAGTATAGTTGCAAACAATTTTCATGCAGTTGTTAGACAGATTTTTTTTTCAAAGTTCTTATTTGGAGTCCTGGCCAAAATGTCATGAGAAGGTGCACCATTTCAGCAGCTGGTGCCCAAATAAAGAAGCAGTCTTATCTGCTGTCTGTATCGCGATGTCATCTCAACTAGGTAGAGTTGTTGCTGTGGGGCCCCATTTGAAGTTTTGGGGAAACTTCAAAGATTACTGCAGGGAAAGGATCTGTAGGAAAATCTATTGTTCATCATGGAAAAGTTAAATATCATTCATATACACATACATTCAATGAAGAATATGATATAGAAAAAAAAGGCATGGAGAAAGTAAAAATTTTTCCTAAAGTCTTTCTTCTGTCCCATACCAGATGCCTCTGATATGAGACAGAAACTCTGAATGTTCCTTTTTACAACACGCTTGGATTTAGAGAAATACAGAGCCATTATCCAACTCCAAAATCACTGAATATATTAATATACATATGCATTTGTATATGTGTGTGTGTGTGTGTAAATGTAAGTGTAACCAATACTGGATTCATAAACCATGTTCTGTTTTCTAGATGCTCCTTAGTGGATAGTTATTTTTCCTTCTGTCAGCATTCAAACATCCAGTATCTCTTAAATTTTTAATGCTGTGTATTTTCCTGCAAAGATAAGAGCAGAACCCTGCCCTAACTCTTATAAGATTTGCTTACCACCTGTATGATAGTCACCATCGTGGATGTGGTATTATTTCTCTTTTTCAAGATGTTTCTTCTTTTCAAAGAAAATCTTTATTAATTTTGATGGTATCCATAAATTTCCTTCTTCTGTGGAAACAAGATCAAAACCCCTTCTCCAACATAGTGTATCTCCTGGTTTTCATTGTGAGGTCAACTTATCCTTGAAATATAGTGGTTGATTCAATTCAGAAGTTTTTTCCATTATCTAATGCCTCTCTGCTGCTGTTGTTCCTAACTCATTAGTGTTAACATAATTCAAGGTTAATAAAGCATTATGCAATCTATTTCTGGAGTTTTCGTCCATTTCTTTCTGTTTGTTCAGCATATCCTTTAGAGTATGATTTGACCTTTCTATAACTGCCTGACCTGTAGGATTATTTGGTATACCTGTAATGTGCTT